TCTCACATTCGACTGTGATTGGTCAATTCTTACGGTTTACGGCTTACGACCACTCGACATACGACGTATTGTAGAACGGGCCTAAAGAGTGATCGTGAGCGGCCGAGAGTCGTTCTGCTCGCCCGACATTGTCCGGCGAGTTTCGGCTGAGAGCCGCTCAATGGTTACGACGCGCCTCCGTGTGAATCCATTCATTTTTTATGCACTGTAAAAAAAAGTGTACGAACTATACGAACGCCAATGGGAAATATGAACAAGTTTATGAAAATTATTACGTTCCATTAAATTTATAATCGAACGTGTACATAAATCTCGTATATTTTATATTTGTTCACGTCATTTTACAGTATTTTTTTACAGTGCAGAGCACTGTAGTTTTTTTTCCGTTCCCGGATTTTACCTCGCAGCGAATAAACTATCACGTGTTGTAAGTCGATGGAATTAAAAAGATGCATGCGTTAAGTTGGATCAAAATCGACCAAACGAGCACGAACAAACACGAATAAATAAATTGCTTCAACGAATGTGGACGGACGAGACCAAATGTATGCGCTACATACATTGACGAATGTGTCATTTTCGTTTTATTTCGATGTATCGAAAAGAAAGAGCTCGTCACGTCATTCGTAAATGTTCGTTCACGATTGTCCGTCTTTGCTAGCTTGGTTTGAATTCAGATTATAAATATCTAGATAATATAATATTAAATTTTAAAAACAATTATTATCTTATTATACTAAACCAGTTCGAATTATCCAGATTCTTAATATTCGAAGAATCGTATATCTAAATTCGAATTATTCGAACTAAAAAAAAATTGAATGAAAACAAAAACAAAGGCAAAGAATCACCAGCTGTTTTATACATGCAAAAAATTTAACTAAAAATAATAATGTAATACTGTACAAAAAATTATATATGATATTCTTTTAATTTTAATTATGTTTTTATTGCAATTGTGAGTTTGGTATGCTTCGTAGATACTTGTCTATTATATCTCTTATACAGTCAAATTATCCACCTGTCATTTTCAATGGATAATTTGGATTCGAATTAATAAATTCGTAAATTCGGATATACGCGACTTTTTGAACATTAAAAATTATTCGGATAATTCAAGATAACTTGAGTAATCAGACAATTGGGTGAATTTAATTATTTTCAAAGCATCAAATGTATCAATAAATCGGAACGTGATATATAGACTAGATTTTAGACTGTCTTATATAAATTTAAGATGCTTTATATGAAGTATCTTATTCGAAAGTCGTGCTCGTGCGTTCGTTTTCTCTTCGGGATTCGCTTTTCCTTCCCTTCTGCTTCCCTGCACGATTATCGTTATTTTCGCGATACTATATAGTCTACGAGAATAAAACGCCACTGACCTTTTCCTAAATAGAATTAATCGAACGAAGCAAAAGATCAAAGATGTAAAATCAAAGTAATTTTAAGGAAACTCAACTCGCGAAGCACGTTCTCTACAGATAGATGCAGGAAAATGCGACGCGCATCAATCGCCACGTCTAGATAAGTAGTCGCGGGTAGAAATCGCGTTGGCGTGCCGCAGCCACGGGAATCTAATCTCGTCGAAACGATAGTGATTTCAAATAGTCGCTTCTTCGGTATCTTCACGGTATCCTTCGCGCGCACGGGCACGTCATGGAGTGTGGTGTTTACTCGGCTTCCTCAGGGCTGTGTCAGCGAGCTCCCCGGATCGCATGGACCGTGTGGGTGCGGTCTTTGGGAGGTAGGGGCCCTCGCTCACCAACGCGGCGCTCTCTCTTTCAGAGTAGGTCCTACCTTTTTTTCCCCCCCTTCCCCACCCCCTTTCTTTTTCTTCTCTCTTTCATTCGACGGTCCCTTCGTCGCGCTTATGGCTTCAGCATCAACACTCCCTCCCGTAAGATCGCCCCTATCTTCCTTCCTCTCTGTTACCCTCGTAGAGATATTAAGCCCCGTGGCGTTTCAGGGCTGTACATTCGTAGGGATGGAATTCGTGAGAGATATCGACAATGCGACGTGCCTGTGTAATCGCGGAGTCTATATCCGAAAAAATCCATTTGGTGTGTTTGGTTATTTATATATATATATAAAGTGTAAAGCTTCATACATTTTTGAATCTATCTCAAAATCGTTAGTGTTTCCTGTTTTTAAATTCCTTATTTACAATACGAACGACACTGCAATGATAACATAACTCATTGTTACAAGATTGACGCGTGTAATATCGCCGATGTAGTTACAATGTAACAGCCACCAATATCGCTTCGATCCTGGTAGTATATATATATAAAAAATGCATTTATTCGCGTGTTGCAACATGGCGTTTCACGTGCAGGGCAAGACAACTGATTTTTTTATGCTATCTTTCAAATTTTGTATTTGCGGTATTCGTATCATGATTATTTTATATCGCGAAATGTTTCATAGCTAAATTTTTTATGTCGCCTAAAACGAAGACAGATAATGGACTTTGATGTGATTTCGAAAATGACAAGTCTATTCTGAATTTTCACATTCGGAGATTCAAAACAGGATAATCGAATTGACCTGAAAATGCGCTTCACTTCTGAATTGATTATGAAATAAGAATTTTTTGTTTTAGAAAATAAATAATTCCATTAGGGGTTGGAGGGCATTAGTTAATCTTTTTCCACGCAATAAAAATTAATTTTATAAGACTCATCTTCGTGTCTATTTCGATTCTTTTTCTTGGATCGATCTTTGTATATAATGGCTTATTGTTATAGTCAATAAAACAAAATAAAACGATTCGGTCGGAACGATATCACCATTATGTAGAAATAAAATAACTTCAAATTGAGAACGTCAAGATTGGAAAATGAAATGGCACTAATTGAGAGAGATTGCTAATAATAATAATTTACGCTCTCTATTAATTAATTTACGATTAACTGGCGCGTTGCATGCGATTTATGGAGTTTTGGATTCGGTAATGTTTCGCGCTGACAGTGGAACGGTTATGCGGCGTGTTATTTGCGTCAGAGCGATATAGGAAATATATGCTGCATATATCAAGATATATTTCGGTAATAATTCGGATAAGGGAGTTTGTAGCGTCTGTTCCAATTGTTGCGCCGTTGCGGCCGCCACAATTCGACTGGGGCGTAATATCGCTTTTGCGCATACATGGTATTCTACTTTCTAGTGATCTCGCCGCTCAGTTCCCACGAGTATCGGCGAGTATCGCTAAATTTATCCGCTATCAAAGTTGTTAAACATCTCGTCCTATATAATTCTACAAATGGTGCCGTGCCGACTTAACGAAACGTCGACTTCGACAAAAGTAATAAAAATAGGACGCGATGCGTACGTTACGTTACGCGATATTTGAGCAATAATTTAATTTAATTTAATTGGATGTATAATTTATTACATACGTACGAAATTTACGTGTACATAGATTTACATGAGAGCATACGCAAATGATATGGTGGCAACATGTTTACTGTTACAATGTCTATACTAGATAGAAAGATAATTGAAATATAATTGCAATTAGTTGATAACTGAAATATAATGGGGAGTGTACGCTAATTTAGATGTGATCTCTTCGGAATTTTTTTTTTTGGGCAAGATAACGTTCTCATGATAGACTATTGTATTCAACAATTATGTATATACAGTATTGTGCGATCAGTTACTTTCATTCTAAATATTATGCAGAAAAGAGATTTAAATTTATTTAACATATATTGTTATACGCGTTTGAGTTTTTATGTTTTTGCACATCCTTTATCTGCGTGCCTTTATAAACGCACATCCTTTCATCTGCGTATCTACTTTATTATAAATATTTTTGTTGAAAAAGATTGATTGGTCCAATCGGAAACATATGTTCTTTTGAAGTCGCACTTATTTCAATGCAGTAAAACTATAAATAGGTATTAAAATTATCCAAAGTTATTATTATTATTCTTATTTGATTACTCAAACCAAAGTTTAAATTATCCGGATAATCCGAAGTTTAATATTCCTAAAGAGTCGAATATCGTGTATTTGTCACATTGTACTCGAAATTATTCAAATTACAAAAGATTTGATAGAAAACTTGTAATTGCAAAACATAATATGTAAAATTTATCGATTGAAATTATACTTCTATCACGTATATCTGCATAACATATTATATATGCGAAAAGATCGCTTTGTGTTTTGTTGTCATAGAGAAAATAAACATACTTTAAAAATATATTATCATAGAGAAAACAAACATACTTTAAAAATATATTAATATATTTAAAAAATTCTTTAAGTATGCGAAAAGCAAATAAAATATTTTTTCAATAAATTTTGATAAAGGAAGATAAATTAATTTACATCGATGATAGTTTTCTTTGACTGAAACGATGTTTCTCGCTAAAGAATATTCTTTTAGAGAATATGGCAGGAATAATCAAGTAAATTCTAGCTAACTTAACAATCAGTTTTCTGTCTTATTTTTACGAATACTTCAGATACAAATTAACAAATTTGATTCTCCAAATATTAAGATTTGAATCGTTCAGATAGTTCGAGTAATTAGATAATTTGGTAATTTAATCATTCTGATAAACATCCAAACGAGATATTAATTGCAAATCCAGATCATATTTAATCCTACATTGTAAGAAAAGTACTGAAAATTATAACAAATAACATTTGTGTGTACTTTTTTTTTACAATAAACAAGGGGTAAAAATTATACAATTTATACAGTGTAGATACATACATATTCGTCACAAATTGTATAAATTTTACACTCGTTCGCGACAATCTCATTTCACAATGCAGACCCGAAAGTCCTCAAATTCACACGTGGTACTTGACGCGCAGCGTCCGCACCTGCGATACCGTCCCCTTTCCCTATTTCCCCTTCTCGACCTCTCACCACGAGAATGATAGTCCCCCCACGTTGCGGCTGGCAACCCCTCTATTCCGCCGCCACCGCCGCCGCGTTTCCGAGTCCTGCTGCTCGCTCGGTCGGTTAGGATTCAGTTCGTTGTGCGCCACCGTCGGACGTGGTGTTGTGTGTCTCGAGTGCGCGCGGAAAGAGACTCGCGGTGGTGGTTCGACGTTGTCTCGCTCCTGAAATCGCGAGCCAGCCAGCCAGCGAACGCGAGCGAGCGAGCGAGCGAGGGTGATGCGCGTACTCTAGAGCGAGGAAGAGAAAGAGAGAGTGTCATCGGCGCGTAAAGAGCTCGCGCGCGCGCGTGCGTGCGTGCAATACGTGCGTGCGTACGTACCGTGCACGCGAGTAGTGTTCTAGTGTTTCCTCCTCCGTAACGCGCTTTCAGTCAGGGTGTGTGTTGTGTGTGTGCCGTATATACTACTCCGTGCGCGCGCGCGCGTGTGTGTGTGTGTGTTCCGTCGCCTGGTTTGGTCTCGATATCGCGCCGTGGCTTCTGCTCTCGCGCTTCTACGGCCGCTCTCGTACATACATACACACACACACACACACAAACATACTTAATACGGATACGCGTATACACGGGTGCGGGCGCGCGCGCGCACACACGCGCGTAACACGTACACGGGAACAACACGACGTGGAGGCATGACAGCGACGCGGGAGTGTTACCCCATACGGTAGGATAAACTCTATACATCGTGTCCCTCTTCTTTATATAGTGATTGCGATAGTGATTGCGATTGCGACGACGACGACGACGACGACAACGAGAACGACGACGACGATAACGGCGACGAGGACGAAGACGTGACGAGGACGAGGACAACTGAGGAGAGCTTGGGCGGTGACTAAAGACTCTACACGGCGACTCTATACACGGCCTCGGTACTACCAAGTGCGTAAAAGTGTAACTCAGATCGCTGTGACCAACAACGGCCTGCAACACGACTTGGCCGACAATTGTTTTGTCCGAATCGATACGCCCCCGGCGGCGGTGGGCACTTTCGTATGCCACACGGAACGCACACGGCTGAACGGAAACGAACGGACGCTCTCGTGCGATTTCATCGCGCACGTCTCTCTCTCTCTCTCTTTCTCTCTTTCTCCTCTCGCTCCTTCTGTATCTTACACAGCGCTTCGAGAGGGCCATACCACGTTATATCGGAGTAACCGGAGCCGAAAAATTTGTGTTTCTCTCTCTTCCTCTTCGCTATTTATTTATCTATCTTGTTATCTCCTCCTCTATCGCATCTCGTATCTCCCTCGCGCTGTCCCTACTCCCTTCCGCCCGAAGAAGATTCTCCGAATGTTTTTCGCCCAATCATTTCGACTCTTTCGGCTGCCCTGTCATCGCGAACGTTTCGGAGTTTCCGCTGGCCGCGTTGTTGCGTCGTCGTCATCGCCGATGACGATCGTCGCATTAACCGCCAATTCTGCGACACACGCGAGAGTGCCAAGGAGTTTTTTTTTTCTTCTCTATCGACGACGTAGCTCCGCGACTGTTTCGCTCGCGGTGCTCCACCGTACTCACTACGTGACTGACTGCGTCGTCCGCAGCTGTTCCAAGGCACTCTCTCGTGTTTTGCTTAAAAAAAAAAAAAACGCAAACACGCGCACCCGAATGAATTCTCGTCAACGCTACGAACAAACGAATCCTCCCCCCCCTCCCAGCCGTACGTATGTTGTACATGTACGTTAACGTCATCGAGTAGTGTCGAGCATCGCGCGTGTCTCCGGCAAGACGTAAACAATGAAAATCGGAATGATTTCGAAATTCCGCAACGCGCAAACACAGAGTATTCGGTTTATCTCTCGCGACGACGACGAGGTTACGACGAGGGAACGCGTACCCGTTCACCGTACCCCCGGCGACGACGATCGAGTTAATCGCGATTAACTCGCGATTTCTAATATCTCGGTGTCTCGCCAGAGTCCCCGTGCTCGTTGAGCTCTCCCCTTTTTCTTCCTTGTTAAGATTAATCACGAGCCAGGCGTGCGTTAGCCACTCGATTGATCTCATCGGGATTATACAGGGCGTTCTGAAATTCGATGGATATATTCGTTGTTCGTTAGATTGTCGTTATCCTGCAGAAGTACATTTTTAATGCGACCGTGCTCGTTTAAAGTGAGATCACGCGAAGATTACCATAATTATAAAATTTCTATTTTATAAAAAAACATTTTATAAAACATTTCAATTTTATAGATGTTAGATTTAAGTTATTTAGATCAGTAGAGAATAATGTTATTTTAACCGCGAAAAGACCGCGAGAGAGGCCATTTTCTTTGTAATTCTTGAGAAATTTTGATTTTATAATTTTCTAACGACTTAATAAATGTCTTTAAAAAAATAATGGTGCTGTGAAATAAAATCTATCACTTCAAATGGGACGTCTCATTGTTTGCATTTATACAAAGGTCGATGAATGATTTTTTACTGATTTTTAAATGGTTCGAAAAACCATGATGCTTTGATACATTCATTAACGAAGGTTCAATTCCATTTTTGCAGTAATTAACATTCCATCCATTGATGTACTAGATTCTAATCTACGGCAAGGTATATCGATTCTGTGCTCGAGATGTTCGAACATATCGCTTAAAGAGGGAACACAAATCGAGAGAAAATGTTTTTCCATTCGACGACGAACTCGCGGCTTAATTCCTCGTATACGTTGCGCTTTTGGTCGTTATATCGCGTCTTGTGACACACCACGATTCTATAAATAGAATATATAATTACGTCGTCTGTAATATTTTTGAATAGAATGGATTCGTGTCCGCCTCGATTATAGCCGGAGGAGATTAATTTAGGAGCGGAGGGTGCACTTTTTTTCTGCACGCGTAAAACGTACATACGACTCCGCTATCCCGGATGTATCGTATTTCTTCTGCTTTTTTTCCGCGGCGGCGCGTCTCGCCATTCAAATCGACGTTGCAAAACGCTGTTGCATCGTTCGTCGCCGGAATGAAATATTTACTCGTCTTGCGACACGGATGAACGTCATCGGTGACTCCTCGGCGACTCTTCGGCGATGCACCGTCTTTCATATTTTTCCTCACGCTCAAATCTTGGAGGTTTTTCAATCAGTTCCTTGCGCGGAGCAATTGTTTCGCTTATTGGCATTCCCGCGAAACGCGTATACGCGTTTGGATGTGCCGGAACTGGTAGTACAAGCGGCAAAGAGATAATTTTTACATGAAAAAAATAAGCCGAAAATATAGAACAAAATTTTTTTATACAGGAAGGCTTTTATTTTCCAGAGAAAGGATTTTGTACATTTGTCAAGTACGCGTGCACACGCGCGTGCGTTTATAAATTATTACAAATGTCGAAAGAATATATAAGACAAGATGTATTTATTTTTTAAGAATTTTATTTTATTATTTTAAAAATTGTTAAAAGTGTTGCCTCTGTGTTTTGTCATATATATACGTAGGTAGAATATTGTGCTCTTCGTATTAAATTTATGTGAATATAAAATTCTCTTTTTCCGATCTTATTATATATTTTAAATTTTTTAATGGCTGATATGTCCTTTCCAATTGTTTGACACTCGCAATATCATTACGATATACAATAGATTTAACGTATTACTTTACGATAATATCGAATATATTGAATATACCTATGTATTCGTGACGGATATTCAAAGTTATTTTTCCGGAAAACGAAATCTCGTTTAAATAGTTTAATTCTATATTTTTGCTGCGTATAGAATCACCCACTTCCCATTTGTACCATCAGTTACGAAGAATCTCGTATATCTTGCATAAAGATATTAATAAAATTATTACTTTTCAGTGTTTCAACAACTGCGTTGGAATGACTCGTTGTTTTGCAGCTTCGGCTGCTGTCGCGAAAAACTCGATATTTTGCACGTGAGAGAAAAAATATTGCGATATTTTTCGGTAATGTTTATACAACGATTCTCACGTGAAAGAGAAAACACGACGACCGGCAATAAATGCCGTAAACAAATACGAAGGTCAATGTAGCGCAACACGTGTGCCCTATTCTTAATTAATTGCACGAAAGCCAGAGGTATGCACATTTAATGCGAGCGCGCGCGCTTGTTTAAAATGAGATCGCCACCAAATTTTATCACAATTATAAAACACCTCTGTTTTACGGTGTATTAGCTTAGATTAAAGTTGCTTAGATTAAACACTGGTCGGTGTTGCTTACACACATATCACGCGCTACTCGCTTTATGTTATGATCACCACGATTCCAACGGGAAAGATTTTAGGCCCATAAATATTGTGTAAAAAATGTTATTCACAACGTATGTCTGACCCATACGTGTAAAAAGGGGAACGAGCGATCGTGGCCCGACATTGAACGCGCACATATGAATATATATGTGTACACATACACATACATATTTATACATGCGGCTTGTGTGCCGTTCTTAGACGCTTTAATGTTCCTCGTTTATGCACGATAAATAAATAGAATAAGTGACTCGGTTATACGATCGACTCACCGAACGACGTCGATCGTGCAAGCGCATTCATCGTTCGCATTTATATTATCACGTATAGCGTACGTGACAATGCAAATGTCGCGCGCGAGTCACTACGAGTTTAGAAGAAAAAAACTACAGTTGCAAAATAAATACAAAATTAACTCTCTCAACACCCGCGAGCCGTTTCCGTGAACGAAGTTTAGTCGACGTTTAACTGATTCTCCATCTCCCTCCTGATTCTGCATGCCAATTGGCACGTGTAATAAAACGTTTGTGTAAAAATACGAGAAAGAAATTTATCAAACATTTATCATTTATTCATTTTTCGGCATATCGTTTTGTGTTGTGTTAAAAATTTTTTGTTCTTTAATAATGGGCCTTATACTCAAATTATGTAATCGCTAAGAATTATGCGTGCAATTTAAAAATGTCAGATTATAACTTAACACACGTATAACATTTTATAAAATAAAGTCCATTTTTCTTGATGGTCGTATAATAAAAGCGCATTCTCCCTAATTAGTAATAATTTTGATCACATTTTACAATTAATTGCTTAATTAATTGACGGAACTTTTATGTAACTTTTCACGATAACGTCAGATTGTCAGATATAATTGAAATCTGCAAACATTTCGTAATTTTTAATACGACCACCTTTTAATCAGATGCAATGTACGAAATCATGTAATATATGTACATACACACGTATATGGACTGCACAATGTCTCACATATGCTCCCCCTTCATCTGTTTTCTAGTTTCTCTTTCTGCCCTTTGTCGGAATTGCACAATCGATTCACGGTGTGGTGTATCCCTTTCGACGATCATCCACCCAGAAAAATGTAATACTATCACGATAAACTACGTTTCTTTCACTTGTCTTCCTGAACGTGTAACATCATCTTATCTTAAACTCTATGACAACGCGCTTTTGTTTCTTGTGACAACTTTTGTGTTTATTTTTCGCTACGTCCCGACACCGAAGAAACCATGTTTGAAGCTTTCTATCTCTCTGTCTCTCTTCCGAATGAAAAAAAATAGCTTTCTTCCCGACCTCTATGATACGAGGTTACAATACATACCCGTAAACTTTTCAATGTTGTTCATATAGGTTGTGACAGAGCGGCGATGTCGAGGGTAACTTTGCCAATGTATCGCAATCTGTGTGTACCGTATATAGGACTACGTTGATTCTGCGTTGA